TCGGTGAAGACCACAAATGAGAGACCTAGCTCTGATACCACTTGAAAGGTTGAGATGGCAGACTAGAGGGGGGATGAATAGTCATTTCTAAATTTAATCGCGCCGGTTAACCGAATCAAATGCGGAATTAAAACACATCTCCTATCCAATTCTAGGTTCCGAATCAAATGCGGAATTAAGACTACACCCCTCTATCTATGTTCTCTAGCACCTTGCAAAGATCCTAATTAAGCAACTAAGGTGCCAAGCTAGCTAGAGCTCACCTATCTAATTCTCAAAGCAATGTCACACAAACATATGCCACTAGTACTTCAAGCAACGAGGGAGCTTCTACACATGCTAGTAAGCAAAAGCACAAAGCCACCTAAGCTCACTAGCAATGCTCAATAATAAGGCAACCAATGCCGAATTAGAGAGCGCAAATACTTAGCTACACAAACTAAGCAATGTGACTAACAAGGTTACACAAACCAAATTAACCACGCAAGGGAGCAACTTCTATGCTACACAAGCAAGAAGGTAACTAGTGAACTACACAAGCTAACTAATTACAAGAGCAACTACACAAGCACAATGTATATGAAAGTAATTATAAGCTTGTGTAACGAGGATGCAAACCCACGGGAATACAAGGATGACATGATGATTTTTATCCTGAGGTTCACATGCTTGCCAACACGCTAGTCCCCGTTGAGACAAGCTCCAAGGTTGTTGCCAGTACTCTTGCTAGTAGTGACCCACAAGTCACACTCTCCCACATGGAGTGCTTACCACAAGCTCTAGCACTTGACCCGGCTAGACCACTTGTCTCTCTTCGTGTCTCGCTCTACTAGAGTTGCTCTTCGTGGCTCCCGTGGGGCGAGCACAATGCCCCTCACAAAGCTCTTCTCCGGAGCACCGCACAAGCTTCTTGTGGGCTTCGACGGAGACCACCACCAAGCTGTCTAGGAGGTGGCAACCTCCAAGAGTAACAAGCACCACCGGCTTGCAACTCGATCACCTAGTGCCACTCGATACAACCTCATGATGCAATCGCACTAAAATCGCTCACTCACTCGATCAGATGAACACTATCAAGCTCAAGTGAGTTGGAGGGCTCCCAAGCACTACCACACAAGCCACCAAGGCTCTAGTGTGCTCCACCGCTAGCCAAAGGCCGGCCAATACTTCTATTTATAACCCCCACGAAAATAGAGCCGTTGTACCCCTTCACTGGGCACTGCTCGGAGTGACCGGACGTGCCGGTCGTATCGACCGGATGTGCCAGGCCCTACGTCTGATCAATAGATGCATGCCACATGTCGCCCCCGTTCAACCTCAGTCGCTTGATCTCAATGGTCGGTTGCCACGCGCCAATGATCAAGTGATGACCGGACGCACCTCTGCGACAAAAGACCGGATGCGCCACCGCCTGAGTTTGGTCATTTCTAGAGAGCTCCTCGAGCCTCTATTTTGCGACCGAACGCGTTTGCTCCTGCACGATCAGACATAGACCAACGTCCGATTAGATCTACGCCCATGAGCCAACTCCAACACCGCCTACGTCACCATACGTCAGCATGACCGGACGCGGCTCCTAGGCGTTAGGTCACTTCTTCGCCCAGCGTCCGGTCAAAGACCGACGCCTGCACCTTCACTAGAACACATGACCGAACTCACTAGCCAGCATCCGATCACTGCGCTGCGCAGAGTCCGGTCACTTCGAGTGACCTGTTTCGCCTCCGTTTCTTCACCGAGTTGATCCACATCAACTCCAACTTCTTCTCCTTTGTAAATGTGCCAACACCACCAAGTGTACACCACCATGTGTATGTGTGTTAGCTTTTCACAAACATTTTCCAAAGGATTAGCCACTCAACTTGCCACGCCACTCGAACCTAGCGGCGATGCAAAGTTAGATCACTCGAGTGGCACTAGATGACCGATATGCAAACAAGTTTGCCTCTCTTGATAGTACGGCCATCTATCCTAAACCCGGTCATCAACTTCTCTACACACCTATGATCGGTGAAATGAAATGCCCTAGGTTATACCTTTGCCTTGTGCATTCCATTCCATCTCCTCCATTGTTGATGCAACACATGCACCAACCAATCACCAAATTATATGATCCACTTCATATCATCACGTGACCGTATTGGTTCATCAATCTTGACTTCACTTGCTTTTCACCATTGCCTTCGTCCATTGGCGCCAAGTCTTGCTCAAGCTTCACCGCCACACGATCCATCGCTCCAAAGCCTCCAACTTGCCCTTCACTCTTGTAACTGGTCCATTAAGCCAAGTCATGTCTTGATCTTCTCCACCTTGATCACATGACTCAATGTCATGTCTTATTTGCAATAAGCTCCTTCATCATCACATGTGTGAGCTTTGCAACAGCTCTAAGCCATTTTCACATCCATGGCATATGTTGCTCACACACATGTACCTATGGACTAATCACCTATGTATCTCATATAAACACAATTAGTCCACCTAGGGTTGTCACTCAATTACCAAAACCAAACAAGGACCTTTCACTTATGCATGAACATGATGATAATCCAACTATACTAAGCATATAATCAAAGTAGACGATGAACATTATAACAAAGAACATGAATAAGATGAATATTAATATTGTCATAACAATTGTAACTAGCATATAAAAAATAATGGAGGTATAAAAGAGAGGGGGTACAAAGATTATACCGAACCACGCTCTTGACAAGATTGGAAATCCAAGCGAAGCCTGCTTGCCTCCCTCAAGACCTAGCCTAACTAGCTATGCCCTAGAATATGGTGGAGCTCTGAGGATGATTAGGGTTTCTGTCTTCTCAAATGACTTGATGACTGGAGTTGTTATGCATGGGGGTGGCAGGGGCTGGTATATATAGTCCGTAGCATTCAACGTGAGCCCTTGGATCAAACCGACTTAAAGGACGGCGTAGATGCAACCTAGGAGGCGGTGGAGAACCAACATTCAAAGGAGGGGCAGACATGTGGGCCAATGGGGTCAGGCGGCTAGCAGGTGGGGCTGGGTAGCCTCTGCCTCTCTGCCTCGACGCGGAGTCCTCTTGAGTCTTCTAGAATTTTCTGGTGTCTGTTTCACACGGATAAGAGCGATTAAATCTGACATGTAGGTCCACCTTGATGGTTTTCTGAATAAACCATGCAGAAAATACAGATTCACCAAAACTCATGGAATTTGTTAGTTTACACCCCTAAACCTTCGTTGGTGATTATATTTATACCCTTATACATGTTATATTAACGGTTTATAATGATTGTTAACTACCGTCAATAGGGCACCTAAGGCCGGCCCTTCCACTTAAATAGACACCCCAAAGAACACATAGTTGTTAGGCCTCGGGAACGGTCATCGGACCGTCCCAGCAAGGGTCCAACGCTCTGTCGCGGCCACTCCTGCGCTGCCACGCGTCCTATTCAAATGTTTCGACCGTTACGCGCTCAAACGACTCTCTGTCGTGCTGTGATCATCACCATTGGACCTGGCACCAGACTCACCATCGGACCCAGCATAGTGTGAGTCTAATGTAGTCTAGAAACTATGTAGAAAGGGTTTTTGGGTCGGACCCTGGTCCGACGCCCACCGTCGGACCAAGGGTGCAGTCCGACGCTGCCACGTGTCTCGCCCGCAAATACCTCCTGGTCTGCTGAGCATCGTCGGACCGAGGAACAATGTTCTCGACCGGTCCGATGCCCCTGAACCACACAGTTCGACGCCTATGCAATACTACTTGTGCGTTAGGGTTAGCCGTCGGACCCAGCCTGCGCATGGGCCGACGCCTCCTGAGCCAGGGTCCGACGCCCCTGTCTCCACTCTTTTCAAGCGCGATCACTTCACCTTGTGCATGTGTACCAACTCCAAGTATTCCAACACATGTGTACGTGAGTTAGCAACAATTCAAGCCAATTCCTAAGGGTGTTAGCACTCATTAGAATCTAAATACATATGCAATGAGTTAGAACATCTAGTGGTACTTTGATAACCGCATTTCACGACGAGTTTCACCCCTCTTAATAGTACGGCTATCTATCATCAACGTGATCACACTCACTAAGTGTCTTGATCACCAAAACAAAATGGCCCTATCAAATATACCTTTGCCTTAAGCCCATTTTGTTTTTCTGTTTCTTCTTTTTTAGGTCCAGAGCTTGATCATCATCACATATCCAACACCATCACCTTAGACTTCATCTTTGCTCCGCCACTTGGCTTGAACCAACCTATCTCAATTTCATACTTAGAGCATAGGGTTAGTCCAAATGGGTTTCATCAATTCACCAAAATCAAACTACAACTTTCACCAGGGACGTGAGCCCCAGAGCTCGAGATCTACCACCGCTGGTTCCCACTCCTCCGGTCGTCCTGCACCCAACTGCCACCACCATAGCTCTGCGATGTCCCCTGCACCCTACCGCGCCACCACTTGGCCGTCGGAGAAGTGCCCCATCTCCGAAACGCCGTTCGCATCGCCGCCGCCCGCCATGTCCACTGACGCCGGCCTTGTCCACCACCCTCACTGCTCTGTGAGCAGCCTGCCACCGCCTCCCCTTGGTCGTGCGGATGCTCCGCGCTGCCGTCGCTCACACGCGTGCGCGCAGGCCTCTGCTGGCCATCAATTGCGCTGCCGCCAGTCATCACCATTGATCTACAGAGGTGTGCCACGGGGCACGCTGCTGTGTCAGGGATGAAGGAGGCGTGCCCTCGGACTCGAACATTGGGAAGGTAGCGGCAGCTTCAGCGTGGATCCGGCTAGCGTGGTTCGGCAATAGATCGACGCAGCGGGGCAGGCACAGCTCCGGTGAAGAGGTGGCTCGGCCTTGGCGAGCCTGTGGTCGGCGAGGAGCTTGGCCGAGGCTTGGCGCAACGATGGGAACCTAGGCGTGTCTCGATTCAGCGCGAGGTGGATGGCAAGTCGAGGCAGGCACGCACGGTGTTGGTGCGGCTCGACCTTCCCCGGAGTAGAGCGCGACGCTAGCCTGTCCTGGCCATGGCAGAGGGCAGCAAGGTGGGGTGCTCTTGCTTGTCATCGGCAGCCGCACAGCCCCACCGGTGTGCCCGGGCCTAGGCCCGCTCACCGGCCACGCCACACCGCCGACCCGCTACTCGCACGGCCGGAGTAGCCGCTGGCGACCTCCCCTGTTCCGTGCCCGAACCGCGGCAGCATGCTAACAGAGCATCTAGGTGCCACTGTGGCATGCCACGTCAGATGGCGCTCGCGTGGCAGGTTTTGGACCCTTGGCGTGTGACGATAAAAGATTAGAAAGCTAGATGGTTGTTTTTTTAGTTCGAGAATCCAGATGAGAATACATCAAAAGTTTGACTGAATAACTTACCTTTTTCTAGCTATGGTGAACGTCTCTAGCCGTCCCCAACCTCCGTCCTCATCGTGCTCACCTTTCTGTTCTTATACGCTGGATGTCTCTAGCCGCCGCCGTTCTCCATTCTGTCGCCGCCGCCAACCTCTCAATGCAGAAGCACCAGGGTGATCGTTCTACTAAGTCGGACGCGAATATTGAATATTACTTGCGTTAAGGATCTACTGCCATTCTTGTTCCACATAGAGTCACACGTTCTCGACAAACAAAATGTGAGTATGGCCATGTTCGCTTCTTCCGTAGTCCGTTTTTTTCAGTTGAAACTGTATTTTTCTCTTACAACAAATTAAATAGAATATTGTTTTGGTTTATTTTTTCAGCGAAGCTAACGGGTGTCGTTGGAGTCACTTCTAGTACGGGCCACCCGAACATCACCGCTTCTTTTAATTGCTCCGCTCCGCGCGCAGGCTAGACTCGAGGGGTTCGTCACTGACGGCGGCTACGCCTGCGCCTCCCCCGTCTCCGCCTGCTGCGGTTACCGCGGCAAGGTCAATCAGCTCGACCACATGCCCATCTCTTTCGATTTCGAACACTTCGCCGGTTCTGTGGTTTTGTTCGGAACTTCTCAGGGCTTTCTTCTTCGCGTCGCGCAGGTGCTGTCGGCGCGGCAGTTCGAGAAGCACGCGGGGGCGGAGTCGAAGAACCAGAACGGTCACATTCTGCTCCCCAACGGCAAGTCGCTCTACGACCTTTTCCACAAGCTCAGGGACGTGCCCGCCAAGGCGTTCGCGGAGGAGTTCCGGGCGGCCGCCGGGGTACCCATGACTGTGCCCGCCGCCGAAGCCTCGTCTGCGCCGCAGGGGCAGCAAGCGGGCGCGCCCGCGAGCTGGGAACCCAACGGGGTTCAGGTTGACGGCGTGACGGCGGAGCCCCCTTCGGCCCCTGCGCCTGGACGGGGAGACGTGGTGATGCTGACCGAGGAGGAGAAGGCCAGCTTGTGTCTGCTTGGTTCGAAGTGAGCGATTCCACTGATCGATTTTGTTATGGCAACTATCTATTCGATGGTGTAATTTCGTAGCAAAGGGTTAGACCTTCACTGGGACTCGGGGACATGTGTTCAATCATAAACTGGCAGAATCAGACAAGTATTTATGCAATTATCCCTATTAGTACTCGTTGCAGGTTTATTCCAGTCTGAGTCCCTTCTGCTTCTGTTTTTAAGCAGGGAAAGCAGTTCCACGACTGAGTCGGACACTATGTGCGGCGTTGAAGGGCCTGCGGCAGAACAGATCAAAGACGAAACAGGTGGTGACCCTGTGATGCATGATGTTAAAGTGAGAGTGACAGAAACGAAGTATCAGCTAGACAGTGACCTTAGAGATGTTAGAGGATTGCTGTCCACTGGACTTCTTGAAGGTTTCAGGGTGACCTACAGGAAGGATGAGGTGTGTGTTGTTCCTGCTGGCATTAGGATTGTTGATTCAGTAAACTGATCGAAACCTACGGTTTTATATCTCAAGAACAACATTTATGCTTCATTTTGATTATCTTTAGGTGGAGAACGTTGGACTGATAAATGGACAGGGTTATTCTTGTGGCTGCCCACAGTGTAATTACAGTAGTAATGTAAGCTTTCTGGTACTGCTTGTGTTGCATCAATGATAAGTTCTACGCCTCTTTGTAAATTGTCTGATACCTGACCTCATGATGCCTGATAAATTTTAGATTATGAATGCATGCGAGTTTGAGTAGCGCATTCTGGTCAGTCATCCAACAACCAGAATGATCACATCTTCTTGGATACTGGGATTTCTCTATTCAGGGTGGTGAAAGCACTAAAACCTTGTAAGCTTAACATGCTTGGGGATTTCATTGAAGAAAAGATTGGTTTCACTCCTAATTGGGATGAGTATAACAAGTGGAAAGGTATTTTAGCTAGCACCTAAGGACTTATTGGTTTTGTGTGTTGCTCAGAATGTGCTAATTTTTCCCCTGTCCCATCTTCCATCTTGTTGATCATTTAGCTTCATTTCAAAAGAGGAAAGATTATTCAGATGCTGTGGCTTCAGATGGTTGTTCGACTTGCATTGCAAAATTTCAATAGGACTTAAAGTTCAGATTTATAAATACATATATAACGTGCCGTGTTGTTTCAAGACCTATTTTATCTTCCTACATTCTATATATGCATCCATGGTTTACCTACTATTGTTTTGGGGCTTCAGCTTCTGTATATGCTCAGTAAGCCCATAAACCTTGCAAGGGATGGCTTGGGCTAGTGGGACGCATTTTCTGTGAGAATTGATTCTTAACTTTGAACTGACCATCCCTATCCTTGCTAATTTATTGTTCTAAAACCTTTTCACCATTTCGATGAAGTGTACTGCCAATTTGCAGTCAGTTACATTTAAATGATCATAATGCTCCTCATGCTAACTTCACCTTGAAAGAATCTGCCAGCAATGCCATCTCAAACCATAACTGGAGTGCATCTAAAAGGCGGTCTGGGGGACAGTTTAGACAAGGAGGCACTGAGACTTCAACTCCAACCTTTAGTGGAAGCCCAGGCAAAGGGGTTTCTGGCCTCTCTACTGGCACCTCAGAGAAGAAAGGCATTGAAGAAACTCGCAGTGAGAACACAGAAGATCCTCTCAGCATGGATGATGTTAAGTCTGATTCTCCAGTACCTACTGCAGTAACCCCTAGCTACCCTAAACATGATTCCACAAATTTAGAGCTTTCTTTATCAAGTCCAGTAAAAATCGCGCAAGGACCACTCCCAAACTACAGCATAGACTCAAAGTCAAAAGAATAAAAAACAAGGTAAAAGATTAAATCTTTTGTAACATTTAAGGTGTCTTTCTGCAAAAGCTGGTGAAAGGTGTTCTTATACATGACATTTTGAAATGATGCATAACCTACCTTTTCCTCAGGGGTACCACTTTGCATCCACTGATTTTCAAGGAGGGTGGCTGTGGGGGATATACCCCCGATACCCACAAGACAAGACATGGGTCGCGTCCCAAAGGTGGCCCAACCCACAAGATCAAAGCGTGCACCGCAAGGCTTTTATTGTATAATACCAAATATGATATTTTTCTTGTAACCATACCCCTACAGAGTATATAAGGAGAGGCAGGAGTCCCCTAGTGAACATCTCCACATATCTCAATGCAATACATCGGAACACATAATGTTGGTATTACGTCATACTGACGGCTGAACCTGTATAAATCTTGTGTCTCGGTGTTTGTATTACCATCTAGTTCGTATCTCGCGCACCTCTACCGATTCATCTACTACCATAGGCATACGCCTCGGTAGACTGCCGACCAGATTTCGTCGACAGTGGCGCGTCAGGTAGGGGGTGTGCGTGCTGATTTTATCGCGAACTAGATGGGAATCTTTTCTTCAATCAACGTCACCGATAACTCGGCATTCGGCGACAACTCGACGCTGGCACGTAGTGGATTGCTTTCCTCGGCAAACGGCTGCGTGTGTTGGAGTTCGATGCCTTGCCATGCGCCTCCAACAGACGCAACACACGACAACAAGATCGGAGTCAAGCAATCTAAGAAAGCTAAGTCAAGTCGCTTCCTAATTAAATATTGTTATTATACTTTCAGATATATCCGTATGTCTGCATGATTTCGGTTGGGAGATACCTAATCGCATCTTGTTGTTGCTCATGATTTCTGATCGGATACGCAAGATCGTTTCCGCGGATCACGACAACCAGCAATCAGGAAAGGCGGCCGGCGATAACGCGATGTGGAGCAGTGTTTCCACCAAAGATGCTAGTCGGTCGTACAAGCTAATTGGAGTAGTCGAAGAGGTATACAAGCACATATGCATCTGGATCTACACCACCATGCAAGCAACCTCACGTATCTCAGACATGCAAGGAAGATCTCGGACTGCGCCCTCGCCTCGGTCGGACACGCCCAAGGGCTTCGCCTCCCCACGTGGGTTGACTCCGTCAGGCTTCGATTACGCCCATTCGCCTACGACTCCGTGTACTCGTCCGAGCCGTCAAGCGAACCGTCCGAGCTGTCAAGCGAACTGTCCGAGCTGTCAAGCGAGCTATCCGAGCTATCAAGCGAACCGTCCGAGCTGTCAAGCGAGCCATCCAAATCACACCCATCTACTCGAACATCATGACTCACCGACTCCTCTACTCCACTCGGCGTCAATCAAGCTAAGTCACGCTTTAATATTCTTCTAAATATTCTCTAATCTTCATACGCCTCCGATGTCTCTCCATGTTGTTTTCTCCATAATTATTCTCCAAATGACTTTTTTCTCCGCGTATACCATCTTAAAGATGACACGCTTTCGACTCAATAAGACGCTCGGATGTCCCCAGAGACGGCCCTGTCTCCGACTTCTCCCTACACGTGCACGAGCGTCTACCCTCTGCGTTACGAGTGGTCGGCAGCGGCTCCTTGGCGACGCTTTGTTCTTCCTACACGCACACGGGCTCCGCGCTCCGCGTTATGTTTAATGGGCTAGCCAGGACTGGAGACTCAGCTACAAACTAACTGTTCGAACGGTTTATATTAAATACAAACACTTCATCCAAAAACGAACATAATGTTCATCTACAACTGATCGCCGAGCTGCATGCGCTATTTCATCACTGTTGATTTTCCTCTAGGTTTCATATATTTTTACATCATAAACTACCTGTTCTACATATTTTTATTTCAGAGGCCTGGTTCAGTCAACGAGCTTACGCTTGGGGACTGGATTCGTCAAGAGGGACAAGAGGATCATCGTCTGGGTGGTCGCGCCACCTGGCACTCGGACTTCACCACCGACCAACTGGTCGGACCGTTCGTCTCATGGATTTCATCGCCGACTAGTTGGTCGGACTGTTCGACGCTCACTTCTGCTCAGGCATTCACTTCACCGCCAATCAGATTGCTCGTCGCTTCATCTTCATCGACAACTACGCTGAGGACTTGCTAGTTGTGCTGGGGACTCCTCGGCCCTTGGATTCTTCGTGCAAGAGTCGTCAACTAAGCTAGGGACTCCCTTGGCGTTTGGATTTTGCTACGTCTCATCGTTGTGCTTTCAAGTTGCTCCATGCTGTTCGAATCGAGGTGTTGATCTTGGGCAGCACTTCTGGGGTCTTGATAAGTACATGACAGATGACATTGGCAAGCTTTCAAATTTATTTTCTTTGACTTTGCTACAAGATTTATTTAATCATCTTCCAGCAGGCTCGGGGACTAAGTGGCTACACTTCACCTAATGGTGAATGTAGTACTTTTTTCTGATTTACCCTCCTTATTGACTAAGGAGTTTAAGTGGCTACACTTCGCCTAAGGTGGAGAATTTTCAATTTTTATGTTGAGCCCCTTACATCCTTCTGGCAAACTTTACTCGAGTAAGTCCGAGCCTAGCTTCCAGTTGAACTGCTCGGACATCTGCTTCAACTGCTCGGACGCCTAGTTAATAGCTCGGATGCTTGTTTCAACAGCTCGGCTCCCAGTTAAACTGGTCGGAAGCCTGTCTCTGATGATCAGCAGCAAGTTGGACAGCTCGGACAAGCTCAAGATGGCATTGCTCAAATGATACAAGGCGCTCGGGTATTAGCTGTGGGGGATATACCTCCGGTACCCACAAGACAAGACATGGGCCGCGCCCCAAAGGTGGCCCAGCCCACAAGATTAAGACGTGCACCGTAAGGCTACAAGAATATGTGATTTATTGTATAATACAAAATAGGATATTTTTCTTGTAACCCTACCCCTCCAGAGTATATAAGAAGAGGCAGAGGTACCCTAGTGGACATCTCCACATATCTCAATGCAATACATCGGAACACAGGATGTAGGTATTACATCATACCGACAGCCGAACCTGTCTAAATTTTGTGTCTCGGTGCTTGTATTACCATCTAGTTCGTATCTCGCGCACCTCCATCAATTCATCTACTACCATGGGCATACCCCTCGGTAGACTGCCGACCAAATTTCGTCAACAGTGGCCTTGCAGGTAATACTTTGTTGACTTACAAGTTGAAGAGCGGAGAGGTGCTCTGGATATTTATGTGAACTATATCGGCCCCTTTTTCCGCAATCACCTGAATCTGTAGCACTCTTAAGAGGACTCACGCTTCACTGTTTTTTAGGCTCTAAAGCAAGGGTATAAGCGGGGAACAGGTATCTGTAACTGTTGCAATCAAGAGGTACAAAACTAAGTAATCAGCGAATTTTGTTTCTTAGGGTCTAATTATTCTGCATGAGAACCAATTGATGTTTTTGCTGTTCTCTTTCGACTCCAGTTTACTCCTTCACACTTTGAAGAACATGCTGGCATGGGGAGAAGACAGCAACCGTAAGCACCACCATTTTTGGGAAGAAATTGTGCCTATGTGAACTTTATGACTCATAGAAGAGCTATAAGTTCAAAATGGCATTCAATTAACTTTTTGTAATAATCTAGACCTAAAAAAAGAGTTCTTGGGTGTTTAAGTTCATCTAAGTGGTGGAAACTTTATGTTTCAGGTATCACAACATTTATACATCAGAAGGATTATCACTTCATAACCTAGCTCTACAACTGCAAGATCGTTTGAATTCAAATGGATTTGACAATGCTAGTGTTTCCAGCTTCAGTGACTACCCTAACCTTACATCTTCAGGTAACTTAATGGGTGTTGTGTAATGCATAGGCCGAGGTTCATTGTAACAACCAATAGCTTATTTAGGTTTCTGTCTATTTCATTAAATTAGCCAGTGCAGATTATTCAGTTTGCTGCATGTTGAGTGGTTATGGCTCGTGAGCTCTTTCGAATTAGCAGCTATCCATGCGGCCTTTGTGAATGCTCAGACACATATTGGTTGATATCTTTGTGTTGGTCTTTTTAAAAAAGGGTATCCTGCTGCAATAATGTATCATCAGTTCACCTTGTTGGAAGATGATGACTCTGTGGTTCTCTTGGCCATCGGTCCTGCCTGCTAAGAGCCTAAGAAATTCCTTCCTTCCTTGTTTTGAAGAAATATATAAATTATTTGAAAGTTACATTCTATCTAATGACAAAGTTAAAAAAGGGACATTGTGTGCAGTCTTGTGAATGCTAAGACCATACCAGATTTAGCTTTGCCCCATCCTGTTAACTAGCCTGAACCAGCCAAACAACAACAACATAGCCTTTCAGTCCCAAACAAGTTGGGATAGGCTAGAGTTGAAACCCACCAAGAGTCCTAAGTCATGGTTGAGGCACTTCAATAGCTGTTTTTCAAGCACTCCTATTCAAATATAGATCTCTAGGTATATCCTAAGCTTTCAAATATCTTTTTATTGCCTCCTCCTTTGTCAATTTCGGTCTTCCTCTATCTCTTCTCATATTATTAGCTTGGCTTAGGACTCCACAATGCACTGGTGCCTCTGGAGGTCTCCTTTGGACATGGCCAAACCACCTCAACCGATGTTGGACAAGCTTTTCTTCAATTGGTGCTACCCCTAGGCGATCACGTATATCATCGTTCCGAACTCGGTCCATTCTTGTGTGACCACAAATCCATTGCAACATACGCATTTCTGCAACACTCAGTTGTTGAACATGTCGAATCTTTGTAGGCCAACATTCTGCTCCATGCAACATAGCTGGTCTAATTGTCGTTCTATAAAACTTGTCTTTTAGCTTTTGTGGTACCCTCTTGTCACAGAGAATGCCAGAAGCTTGTCGCCACTTGATCCACCCTGCTTGGATTCTATGGCTAACGTCCGCATCAATATCTCCATCCCTCTGTAGCATCGATCCCAGATACCGAAATGTATCCTTCTTAGGCACTACTTGACCTTCCAAACTTGCATCTCCCTCCTCCTGTGCAGCTCCGCCAAAGTCGCATCTCATGTATTCGGTTTTAGTTCTGCTTAATCTAAAACTTTTAGACTCAAGGGTCTGCCGTCATAACTCTAGTTTCCTATTTACTCCCACCTGGCTTTCGTCCACTAACACTACATCAGCGAACAACATACACCAAGGGATATCCACTTGTATGTTCCTGATAACCTCATCCATTACCAAGGCAAAGAGATACGGGCTTAAGGCTGAGCCTTGATGAAGTCCAATTTTAATCGGGAAGTAATATGTGTTACCATCGTTTGTTCGAACACTAGTCACAACATTGTTGTACATGTCCTTGATGAAAGTCACGTACTTTGATGGGACTTTATGTTTGTCCAAAGCCCACCACATAACATTTTTTTGTATCTTGTCATAAGCCTTCTCCATGTCAATGAAAACCATGTGGAGGTCCTTCTTCTGCTCTCTAAACTGTTCCATAACTTGTCTTATTAAGAAGATTGCTTCTGTGGTTGACCTTCCGGGCATGAAACCAAATTGGTTTGTTGATATCTGCGTCGTTCCTCGCAGGCGCCACTCGATGACTCTCCCATAGCTTCATAATGTGGCTCATCAAACATTTGGAAATATTAATGATTGCCAGTTGTCATAACGAATTGCTTTCAAATGTCTGATTACTGCAGTATTAAGTTCGGTTTGTTGGTTTTTGTTCAAATTTTATAAGAGATAGATATTTATGTCTCTAACCATTCCAGTCGATGGTTTTGTGACCCTGGATCGTTGGGTTAATTTGAGGAATTGGACTATTTTAGGACTGAGGTTGATACTTGATACCTTACATAGATGGAACTTTAAGCATGGAGGCACTGCTGGTGTTGTCATGTTGAACTATTTGCACTGAGCACTTGCCATTTCTAAAGGATGAAGGGTAATAAGGTAATCCCCTCATGGAAGTTTTTCAAGGCAAGACATTAACTTGTGAGCAAAAGGTTCTGCAAAGGTCAGGGCATGGTGCACACTACACAAAAATCAAACTTTACGAGGAGAATAGTCTCTTTCTGCTAGAGTCCCTCCTGTGGATCGGAAAGGTTGTATATCCTTTCTCACAGGGCGTTTTTGTCTAAGGAAAATACTTCTAAGGGAGAAAAGGATTATGGGTAGTGACTACTGACTAAGCAGTGCTCCTGCGGCATCTTCCCTGGCCATAGTGTTGAAGTGAAGGAGTTGTCGAATAGTGAAACTTTTTGAGATGGCGATGTGGTCTTCAAGCGAGGGCTCTCATATTCTTGGTGGCTTTACTACTACCATCCTTCATTTGTTTTGCTTTACTACTACCATTCTTGCTGTACCCAGAGCTTGCAAAGTCATCTACTGTCTTGAGATGGATACAATATTGATGTATATTGTTTGTTCTAGAGGGCGTTTAATCTGTATAAAGATTTAAAGTTTAGTTTTTTTGGTGGAAATGAAGTTTCTTTTTTCCTGTGCAATCATCTGCGCCTCCTATCCTGCCTTCACAAACCGTGTTTTGTTTTTTACTTTGGTTTGATACAGTCTTGTCACTAAATCTATTAAGTTGTATTATGAGCCCTGATTTTCCTTACCATCTTTGTTTTTTCGCACTTGCATGAATGCACTAGTGATCTACCGTGTATAGATGATTCCTAATTTTCTGATCTTTGTGTTCAAAGCGTATAGTCCAGTTGGTTTATGTACCTTCTGCAGATACAGTATGTTTTCAATGTCTTTATAAGTGAGCAGAGTAATTATGCTTGGACTTCGCACTGCCCTGTAACAAGAACTGACTTGGCCTCAGTAGTCAGTAGGCCTTTTTTTGTTTCTTTGGTCACATATAGATTTTTATTAGAAGGCTATGTTTTAGATTTAATTGTATTAACTTTAGGCAACGAGGGAGTGATCATTGAGCTTTATGTTTGCAACTAATTTTGAGCCTCCGTGTTGTGCCAATTGGTTCCTTTTATTGCAGGTTGTGGTAGACAACCTTCTACTACCAGTGGACCTATTGTTCCCCTGAAACGGACTTTACAAGAAAGAGTGGTCGAAACAGAGAGTTGCTATTTCTGTGGGTAAGATACTAATGATAAGTATTTATTGTCGATAGATTAACAGGATCAAGTGAGCTCCTTTATATGAAAAATTGCATGTTTACATAATGTCAGGTATGGCCACACAATGATTGGAAATATCGATCCAGACACGATTATCTTCTGTAACCAGGTATGTTCTGCTTAATGCTTATGTCCAACGTATTGCCTTTGATAGATTGCTGGCTTCTGAATTATGCATTGTTGTTACTATTTGCAGTACGAGAGACCATGCCACGTGAAATGTTACAACAATAGAGTTGTAAAAAAGAAGGTTTGTTACCTTTTCACTTATATGGGCTAAAGGAAGGCCTGCCATTGTGAATGATACATCTGAATGATTAAACTGAACATTTCAGGTGCATCTGGAAATTTTGAAAGAATACAGGTGTTTTCGCTTCTTGTGCTGCCAAGAATGTCAATCGCTTTCGTGCCCGTCTTCTAGAAGGACTGGAAAACTGTGAAGAGATTACCTTCCTTAGACGGATAAGATCCAAGATTTGTTGGCGACTTTTAAGTGGAATGGACGCAAGTAGGGATGTCAAACTCTACATGCCTCAGGCCATTGATATCTTCAAAGTAAGTTGTTCTTTCGCTTATAAATTTTCCATCTGCCTTTCAGTAGCTTCTTGGCTGCTATAGGCTCACCTTGATCTCTGTACTTCATAGGCTGCATTTGTGGAATCGACTGATGAGCACATTGACATCTTCTCAGATATGGTTAATGGGTATGTTCTTGCTTATTCTGCCAACTCTTAATTCGTGTATGAGTGGGTTCATTGATCTGTGTTTACCTTTAGTCTTTTTTTTTAATAGATTGAAGTATGTAAACAATCTAAACTTCATTGTTGCAGCAAAAATGGAGACCAAGAGAAGGATTTCCAAGGAATGTATTGTGCACTGTTAACTGCAAGGTGGTTCTTTTCCCTGCCGTGCCTTTCATTATTATGCCATTTTGTTCTTCTGGTCTTCATAGTGACGCCTCTGTTATGCCTTCAATCCTTGCATTTTTATGGTTCTGCGTGCAAACTTTACAAAAGGAGCACACATATGAACTGCTGATTTTAGTGTCCTCAAACTGAGTATAATTTTTTTTGTTGCTGGTATTCTTACTTTTTTTTTCCTATTTTGATTTTATTGCAGCAAGCATGTTGTGTCTGCTGCTATTCTGAAAGTGCTCATGGAACAAATTGCAGAACTGGTCCTTATTGCCATTCGTGGAGAGTGCAGAAAAAATGTGGAATTGAACTTGAACCAGACACTCCATAGCTGATATTGTCGAGTACCTCTTGTAATATGATTCTACATGTCCCACTCCTAAAAAAAGAAAGTGATGCATAACTAGAGAATGTCGATGAGTCACTGACTACATTTTTTCAAAAAGAAAATGATTTGGAATAATTTAATCATCAAGCATTAATCGTATCAGCAGATATTTTGGAATATATGCTAATTCTACAATCCTTATATCTGATCCCTGGGTCCCTTTACCTACCCGTATGGGAGCCCAATATTTTGAGGACTGACATGTGATAATGTCGTTTTATTATTTTGATAATTCCGAATGAAATCATTTCAGCTATTTTTACCATCGAGTCTTATTGTTTGGCGTTTCTTTGTGCAGGGTTCATACTTCTCCTAAAGTCAATCGAGGCACATTTGAGAGCCTGGAATGTAAGCCTTCTTGCTGCGCCTGTTGACCCTGAAATGGCGCAAATCTGGTCAGAGAAGCTCGGGTTCACCATTTTATCAGCTGAAGGGGTAACCGCATTCTCTGTCGCATATTCTTCTGGTTCATGAAATGGTGAAGTTATTTGATTAATTTTTTGAACCAAGGCTAACTGAATATTACAAATTGTTTCCTTTGTTTTGCTAATACTAAAAGTATTACCGCTCACCTGTTGTTCTGTTGACAGAAGGAGTCAGTGCTGGAGTCGCACCCCTTGGTGATGTTCAAGAACCTAGTCTTGGTGCAGAAATCACTTGCTTGAGCAAATCTAATCTGTGTTTGCTTGTACTACTTCAGAAATGACAACCTAGTTTGTGATGTATGGAAGAGAATTTACCTTTGTACATAATGTAGTTTAGTCTAGGAGATGATTCATGGGCTCAGGGCACAACCTATCAAGAGACTAGACAGTACGGACATGAGTTTGTCTATGTATCTTTTTCTTAAGTTAGATACTCCTATGTAGAGTCTAGGTGTATTGTGTACTCGGTGGGCAGGGCGTCATTTGCCATACATGCTTCCAGGTTCCAGCTTGGTGCGTATGACTGCAGCCGGTGTTCTCACCTGTATAATCGAGTGCTCACACGTGCTTATTATGACATGTAAGGCGGTCCTACACCTGAATATCTTTCCGCTGTGCGGCCATGCGGCCATGTTATACGCACGCTCCCACCATAATGATCCATTTTTATGCCTGGTCGTTTACGATGGTACGAGTTTCCAGTTAGTAACGTTTCTACATTTATATGCATCAATGCCCGCCGCGTTCCGGCCGGTGTCACTCCAAAGTTGACCGGTTAAGATCCTGACCAAGCTTCTAACCTCCAGATTGCAGCTGCAGATCGCCAGGCTTGTAGACGTCGACCAAACCGGGTTCATCAAAGGGAGATCCATCGCCGAGAACTGTGTGCTCGCCACGGAGTTGGTGCAGTGCTGCCACAAACGTCGAGCGCCAACTCTAGTGATTAAGCTAGATTTCGCGAAGGCCTTTGATTCGGTGAACTGGGCGAGCCTCCTCAAGGTCCTGAAGGCGCGCGGCTCCCCAGCAAGTGGTGTGACTGGATGCGCCTGCTCCTTGTTACATCCAGGTCCGCCGTACTCCTTAACGGAGTACCGGGCCCCTGGATTACCTGCAAGAGGGGGCTCAGGCAAGGGGATGCGCTGTCGCCTTACCTTTTCCTGCTGGTCGTGGACGTCCTCCAGTCCATGATCAAGGCAGACGCAGCGATTGTTGGTGTTTCTTAGCGTAAGTAGAGAAATCCACAAGCGCATGGATACACCGTTATAGCATTTCACCCGGAAATAATCAGGGTATCGTATTTTTCCAAAGGAATAGATGTGTAAGTCTCTTAGCTAGTTCACCTAAAGAAACAAGTGAAAGGGGTAGTTTGGGTAGTAAGTTTTTTCTAAGGATAGATGCCTTAGACACTATGAACTTACTTCGGACACCGGAGAACATCTGGTCTGCCAAGCGTTGCCGGCCTGTAGCCCTACGTCGAACCCGGACATGGGGGAATACAAGGGACGGACAGGGCTGTCATCACCTGCCGCCTACCCCTCAACCGTGGGGAACGAGGCAAACGAAGATAGCCTCTAGCCTAGACACCACGTCTATGCTATCAACTATTACTCTAGCGTGCATGCAAGGGTTATCTGTCTCTATCAGGGCCCTTCTACTAGAGTACCCGCCACAAGGACGAACGACGAACCCGCAAGTTTATAATGAATGAGAATAGCTTTCTTAAGATATCAATGTCAAAGTTAAACACGAACTTCTTACTCTAAGTAGTAAGATAATCGTAGAGGTACAAGTGGAGTAGTTGCTAGCTCCGACACTCTTCCGCCAAGTGCAGCAAGCACACTAGGGGAGGTTACCAATAGCCCTGGCACTTCTCCAACTCTTTCCTCACTCACTCCCACGCTTATTCTAGCTAAAGCTAAAGTAGAATGAAGCTCTTCTTCTCTTCTTTTGCTCTCTTGGTGTGTGTTCTAGAGGGAAGCTCTACCCCTCTATTTATATCGGGAGTAAGGCAGTGCTGCAGCTATCTTTGGCGCGAAAACCCAGCTTCCACCGCCTCTGCATGCCTCCATGCCACCGCCAGACGAAGGAGGGGACGAGCGGCGCCAGCAAGGGGTTGGGCGCCCCCCTGGGTCGACCGCCCCTTGACTGCCTCCGGTGGCCACCGCCTTCGCACGATGGGCTCCTTGCTAGACTTAGAGTGCGTCCCCGTGGTGCCTTCGGTCCAGAGTTAGGGTCCAGAATCCAATAATGAGTACAAGCTTACAATACTTAGTCCATTTCATACAACAAGAGTTCTTGGAAATTATTTATTACAATACCAGAGTTCAGAGTGCGATAATTAAACAGCAGAATGAAAATAAACATCTAATGGAAACAATACAAGGATCCATCTATGCCCACGAGAAGAATCTTCCACACAAGAGCTACTCCTCAAGCTGCACCTGCAACAGGGGTAAAATAAACCCTGAGTACACAATGTACTCGCAAGACTTACCCAACTAGTGAGAATAGTTTCCCGACTCTCAAGGATATAATAGGCAATATGGGTTTACTGTTTTCTTTTTAATTGTGGAAAGCATTACTAATAGTTCATTCTTACAGTCAAGTTTTATTAGCAGTCATGATTACTTCATTAGCTAACCATTCTAGGTAAGCACATGTTCTACTTTCAAGCAAGGGTTAAGCAATCACATTTTACCATCTTTCATCTTCCAGTTCTTACTACGGTGTTAGACCATAGCCAAGTCATACCATCTCATGAAAATAGTGATCTACGAATCAATGTATCCTAGCTAGGTACCCCGAAACACACACCCCGTTTGTACCCTAGGCACAAACAAGACCAACCCATTCCACTCCTGTCACGGGTCTAGGTCCCCGTCCAAACTTGGACTCCAAGCCCCCACACTTGAGACCTGGTCTCAACATGGTGCTTAGACCTCCACCTTTTCCCACCTTTAATCAGTCGGTCTGAAAAGATCCGGAACCCACGACAAGAGCGTAATGAGCCTTCTCGCTCCCATAAGCAAGTATGTGCTCAGAATAATAAGTCTGTGACCTGACTACCATCCACAGCAATGGATGGTCCTTAATCGACACGACAGGGAAAACAGTGTAACCAAGCTAAGCCCCGTTGGCCGCGGGATACAACCTGTTACACCTACCAATACCCATACCATATCACTGTCTTGTCTCCATTTTCCTTTCATCATTTTATTGTGAGAGTAATAATAATCACCTATTATGAGCAACGGCAGGTTACTCACGCTACCGATGATCTAAGCATAGCATCTACTCGAACCTACACTAGTAAGACTCTTAGGACAGGTATATCTATGCATGTGGTTTCTATAAAATTTCTGTAACATAAATGCACAACACATATATATACGGTGAATTATAAAATAGAGGTTATGCACCGGGGCTTGTCTTGGGCAGGCACGGTGTCAGCTGAGTCAGTAAGTGGTGGCTCCAGGACCTCCTCCTATATGAGAATCTCCTCCTCGTACTCCTCGATAATCTCCTCAAACTCATGATCGTCGGTGGTCACGATCTCTGCCAACTCGTTCTCTACATACATGCGATGATGATGCAACACTTAGTATTTAGGCAACAAGAACTCTTAAAATAAGAATACGCATACCAAGCTACTAAGATAGCTTTAATGATTAAGATACTAAGCTAACTATCATTTTCATCAAGCAAAGTGTTGGGTTCAACTAACAAACCCTTAGGTTGGCAATTTAAGGATATATCTTTATTTCTACTAGTGATTTAATGTATATTAAAACAAAGAGCATTTAACTACCCTATGCTTAGTCTATGCTCACCAGAAGAATCCTCCACACAAGAGCTACTCTTCAAGCTGCACCTGCAATAGGGTAAAATAAACCCTGAGTACGTAATATACTCGCAAGACTTACCTGACTAGTGGGAATAGTTTCCTGACTCCAAGGCGTATGATAGGCAATATAGGTTTGTTGTTTTCTTTTTGTTTGCAAAAAGCGTTACTAGAAGTACGTCCTTAAGATCAAGTTTAATTAGCAGTCATGATTACTTCATTAACTAACCATTCTAGGTAAGCACATGTTCTACTTTTGAGCAAGGGTTGAGCAATCAGAACCATTTCACCATTTTTCATCTTCTAGTTCTTACTACGGTGCTAGACCATAGCCAAGTCGTACCGTCTCATAGAAACGGAGATTCGCGAACCAATGTATCCCAGCTGGGTACCCCGAAACACACGCTCTGTTTGTACTCTAGGTACAAACAAGACCAACCGATTCCACTCCTGTCACAGGGTCTAGGTCTCCGTCTAAACTTGGACTCCAAGCCTCCACACTTGAAACCCGGTCTCAATATGGTGCTTAGACCTCCACCTTTCTCTGCCTCCAATCTGTCGGTCCAGATAGAGCTAGAACCCACGACAAGAGCGTGACAAGCCTTCCCGCTCCCATAAGCAAGTATGTGCTCAGGATAATAAGTCTGTGACCTGACTACCATCCACAGCAACGAACGATCCTCAGTCGACACAGACAGAGAAAATAGTGTAACCAAGCTAAGTCCCGTGGTCGCGGGACACAACTCATCACACCCACCATAACCCATACCATATCACTGCCCGGTCTTCATTTTCCTTTCATCATTTTTATCTTGAGAGTAATTATAATAATCACCTATTGTGAGTAACGGCAGGTTACTCACGCTACCGAAAACCTAAGCATAGCAGCTACTCGAACCTGCACTAGTAAGACTCATAGGACAGATATATCTATGCATGTGGTTTTCATAAAATTAATGTAACGTAAATGCACATCACATATATATATTCAGTGATTATCAAAGATAAGGGTTATGCACCGGGGCTTACCTTGGGCAGGCGCGGTGTCAGCTGAGTCAGTCATCAGTGACTCCGAGACCTCCTCCTGCACGAGAATCTCCTCCTCATACTCCTCGATGATCTCCTCGAACTCGCGATCGTCTATGGTCTCTATCTCCACCAACTCATTCTCTACATGTATGCGATGATGATGCAACACTTAGTATTTAGGCAACGATAACTCTTAAAATAAAAATACGCATACTAAGCTACTAAGCTAGCTCTAATGACTAAGATACTAAGCTAACTACCATCTTCATCAAGCAAAGTGTTGGGTTCAACTAACAAACCCTTAGCTTAGCAATTTAAGGATATATCTTTATTTCTACTAGTGATTTAATGTATATTAAAACAAAGAGCATTTAACTACCCTAATGCTTAGTCTAGTCTAAAGCTATAAAAATTACAGTGAACACATAATAATACAATGAAACTGTTGTAAAAATTTTAGGATCAAAACTGTCACCAATTCACCACAAAAATTCCTACAATAATCAACTTAATAATATTAAGCATTCTCATACTATTTAATAGCTCCTAGTGTCAACACATATAAACTTGAACTAAATATGCTAACAGATATATCACATATTTAGAAACCTAACAAAATTTGTTTCATAATTTTTGGACATATACATGATTTTATATTAATTATCAAAGATCAGCTCAGAAATTAAATTAGAAAACTATTTCTAATTCCTTAGAAAATTAAAAGTGAATCTCCCGCGAGGCACACACGCGCGACACAGCGCGCGCGCCGCGGCCCGCTTCCGTAGCCCATCGAGGCTGGCCCACGCGCGGGCGCTTTATGCAAAAGAGCCCTCGAACTTCTTCCAAATCACAACTAAGTACTAACACTATTTCCTCCTCTCACAAGTCTTCTCACCTAACCCCCTGACCTTTCCCTAATTCACCCGCACGTACCCCAAGCGACTCAGCGCACGGCGGCGCGGCGGGCGGTGAAACGGCGTCACTGCGTCGGCCACTAGAGGCTCGCGCTGGCCCATCGGTCGGGCCGACCTTCAACTACGGTCCAACCGCCTACATCAAGCAGCAACGTGGGGCAGCGGGACGCGCTGGAGCGAGCTGCAGCGATGCGCGGCCGTCCGCGACGGCGGTGCACCCGCTCCGATGAGCTGGGGCTGCTACAGACCTAATTGACTAGCAAGTGAGCATCAGGAGACTACCGTGGACCAGGACAAGGTGACGGTTGGGTGGAGGATGGCGGAGGAGGGGTGGCCACGTGCGGCGGCGCACCGCGGTGGCACGGTCGCGTCAGCGGCGACGGGAAGGTGGTAGCGGTTCCTCTAGCATGCGCAAGGTGGAGAGGGAGGCAAGACGAAGCTAGTAGTGCAGGTGAATTGGTTCGGGGTGGCGGTAGGAGGGCTGCCATCGGCACCTGTCGATCACGGCCTTATCGGCCCGACGCGGGGGAAAGCTCCAAATTTGAGCTTGGCAGTGCGTGCTTCATGGCTAGGTGGGGTTGGGCAGCTGGAGAACTCACTGGATGGGCCATAGACGGGCGGAATTGATTGGAGATGACCTCTCGCTGTCTAACGTGCTGGCGTGGCTCCGACGGTGGCTGCAGAGGGAAAGAGGGACAGGTCCGAGCTTTGGCCGTCCTCACCTTGGCAGCTAGCGGTCGGCCGGACTCGCAACCAACCATGCTTTTCGCTCACGCGACACACGACAGACCACTGCACGCGCGGGAGGAGGGGAGTGGGGGCGGGCGCTGCTCTGCGGCCGCAGCGCCATTATAAGCGGAGGCGACAATGAAGCGCCACGGACAGCCCACGTGCCCGCGGTGGCAGAGCGAGCGACAACAACGCAGCAAGGCGTCGCGGTGGCGTTGGTAGCGGCAACGCGAGGCGGGTAGCAGTACGCGGACGCGATGACGAGGTGATGGCGCCGACAGTGGCTTCGTCGCGGCGCGGGGCGAGGTAGGCGGCAGCAGCAGCTCCGCATGGCCGGGCCACAGCCAGGCCAGAGGCAGCCATGGCCAGCCATGCGCGCGCACGCGCGACCAACGCGGTGACGCCAAGCGCCCGAGCTTGGTGACCGCGTCCACCCGACGAACAGCCCGAAAACGTGTCGTGCACGCATTTTAAAGCACCCATAACAACTAAACGGTTGCTTTAGGAACCAAACCATCTTCACCATGCTCAAGATGGCATGTGAGGCTACCAACCCGAGCTAAAACACGACACCACCTCCTAACTCGATTTCACAAAATAAATCGCCAAACATTGCATTGTCTTGCTGTCTATAAACTTAAATACTCTTTGAGCTGAACTTTGATGTCAAGTTCCATTTTTAGGCTATTAGAAATGTTAGCTAGCAAGGTTATTTTTCTACGACAAGTATTTCATTGTCATCTACAAAGTTCATATTCTAAACTTTATTTAAAGCGCCACATATATGTTCTATAGCATTTTTGTTCAATAAAAATTTGTTTTAAACCCTACTTGATATACATGAGTTGTGTAATAGCTTCTCATTTAACATTTTTATTGATCATCTTAAGTTATAAAAATATTATCTACACATTCCATTACATACATTATCACATAAACATGATGCTCATGACATAATTTAGTAATTTATTTAGGGCGTAACACCGAGGGTGTTACACGCTTGTTCCAGCGCAGGTTGACGCCCCAAGCGACGGAGGAGCTCGAGCGCCTCACCGAGATGCTCCAGGAGGTGTCGCTAGGTTCAGGGGAAGACCAACGCTCCAGCTTCTTCGAGGATTGCGGGCACCGGCCGCTGTCGGAGCTCATCTACGAAGCCTCGACGCGTGGTGACCACGACTGTACCTCCTGCACTTTCGTCTGGAAGAACTTCGCCCCACGCGCGTCAAATTCTTCGAGTGGCTACTCACGCAGGACCGGATCCACTGCCGGGCGGCTTTGGCTCGCAAACACATCCTCGACGATGCAAACCCTGCTCCTTCTCCTTTGTTGGGAAATTTGGAAGCACGACATTGCTCGGCTCACCTCGGCGTGCAAAGAATCTATCAAGGCCTGGAGTTGCCGCATACCAAGGAAGGATGAAGCGCTAGCAAGTAGCTGGAGACAAACACTGCCTATGTAATCTAAACGCACCCCCGAAACCTATGATCATCATTGTAACCGTGCAAGAGCATGCCTTCCACCAACCGGGTTCTCCCGGGCATCCGTGGATTGTGGAATGGAAATGCAGCCCCCGAAGTTGACCTCAAATCCGAAGTTGACCTCAAAAATATGCATCAATGCGTATATCAGCCTACGGAGTAGCTCTTTAGAAGAGTGGATCATCTCGACGTCGTGTCATTACTCATCACACTCCAAGTTTATCTAAACTGAACTGAATGTTCCAACGATTTTGTTCTAGTCTGGAATATCAGCCAAATCTGTGGGTTAGTTGCCTAATAAATTGCAAAAAAAAAAAAAAGGTAACAGGACGACGAGCAACCATGTAAAGAGAGGGTAGAAATAGCATAATCAACTTTGCACCAATCATCATCATGTTTGGGTGTCTCTGATAATATAATCAAACCAGAGCTACTCTCGGGTGTCCATCATCCAAGTTTTGTGCCGTCAAAGATCAATGCGCCTAGCCGCACCATCCTACAGTCTTGTTCGTCGTGAAGCCAGCATGAGAGGAACGGGTGTCCTGCTCAGGAGCGGGCTTTGGCTGCCTTGGTTTGGCAGGGTCAACGAAGATGACCCATCCATCCAGAAACTTGGCGTTCATCTCCTGCCGCGCTTTCTCGGCCTCTTCTATGGTGGCATATCTCACGAAACCGAAACCCTTTGACCTCCCAGAAACTCTATCCGTCACCACTTTTGCTGCACAAAGTAATATAAAATGCACACTACAATTAGGAGTGAGGAACAGGATGAACAGAGGCCTAAAAATTACTACTCCAAGAAAGCTTGCTTTGTACCTTCAAGGAGCCTCCCGAAAGGAGCAAATGCACCCTGGAGCTTCTCATCTGTTGTTAGCCTTGAAAGGCCTGCACCCAAGTGAATGAAAATCAGGAGCCTCAAAGCGATTTATTTTTATAGTGTGAAATGAACTCGGACCTGCTGCTTGCTGAGAGAGTATTGTTACTGAGCATAGCTGCAAACTACTGTCTACGTTCCAAATTGTAAGTCATTATGGGTTTTCTAATATAACTTTTTAATATAGCTTTTGATATATGCTATGTCTAGATACATAACCAAAAATAATAATGTATCTAGAAAATCAAAACGACTCACAATTGGGAGCAGAGGGAGTACAATCTAAATGAAATGGGACAAGGTCATTTTTATACAATGATAAAAAGGAAATCCACACAGGTGCAATAGGATTAATTAGTCTTAATAAATTCGTCTCGTGGAGTACTGACGGATTCTATAATTTATTTTTTTATTAGTATCCAACATCCCATGCAACACGCTCGTATGACACCTCCTAACTTTTAGTCACACATCCAAACGCCCCCTAAACTGGAAGTCCGTAACAGGTTTAAATGCAGTGATTCATCGATATTGGATTGGTCACAAACATAGCATAAAGGTATCCAAGTGCCCGCAGCTCTAATTTGGGCAAATTCACACAAACATAAGCAGAACTGTTTTTTTTAATAAAAGTTCACTGTGAAATTGTGTTCCCTGAGGCTCTCTTTATAATAATTATTGTGCAATGAGTTGGGAGGGGCGGGGCAAGGCGGAGAGACGTTACCGCTGACGAAGAGCTTGGGTGTGGTGAGCGGTGGAACGTTGGCGACCTCGGTGCCGTCGCCGAATATGGAGGACGGAGGAGACGGGCCGAAGCCGGCGGAGGAGCAAAAGGTAGCGCGCAGTACGGAGGAGGAGGCTGGGCCGGGGCGGCGGAGGAGGCGGCCATGGCTGTCGCCGGCAGCTAGAACCCTACCCGTCTCTTGCTCCTGGTTTCGGGCTTTGCTTTTGGGTCGCCGGCGAAGGTTCGACTAGATCCTGGCTCTGGCCCAGAAGAGCCTGCCTGCTTGCCTGTTTGGGCTTGTCGGCCCGCCTATTGGCCTGCTCAGCCCCTTTTCCGCATTTCTATATTGCCTTCTGTATTTCAGACGGGAGGATTAGGAATACATGAACTTTGGACAAACCTGATTTCTAAGCTCTCTCCAAAATTCAAATCGACCCTAGTAATGTTTTAGTTTGAAGGCAAACCTGTGAGTCGTCTTCCGGTGAAAACCCTAGCCCATAGCATCCACCGATCGACTGATCCCATCGATCCATCGCGAGGCCAAAGCCAAACCCAGAGGGCCATGGCCTCTTCCTCGTCCTCCGGCACGGTCGCCGGCGCCGGCGGCAGGGTGGTGCTGTCCAAGGAGGGGGCGACGGCAATGGCGGAGTGCATCGGCCTGCTGTTCGGGAGGTGGACGGCGCTGCAGCTGGCGGTGCAGAACCGGTGGGGCGGCCTCGACTCGTAGCCTCGTAGGCCAAGGCCGACCGGCTCGCCTCCTCCGTCCTCTCCTGGTTCACCCGCGCCGCCGCATTGCATTATTGTTGTCTTTCAAACTCAATTAATCTGGAATCGAAATCATTCCATCTGTTTTGATGAATTACGATTGATTTGGTTTGTTTCGTTTGTGCGCTAACGGTGGATTGAATTACTAAAGGCACTGGCCCACTCGACCAGGACGAGCTGGAGGGATTGCTGTACGACGCCATGGACGAGTCCTTCAACGCCGACATTGAGGATGGGAGCGTCGAGGAGGTATGTATTCTTCTCCTGCTTTAAATTCTCTCTGTACAATGTAATCTCTCATCCATGAATCAAATCGATCTGTATGTAGTTAACACGATCGGAAACTAGAGAAATTTAGCACGTTATTCGTAAAATGAACTTGGGGAATTTAATTTGTTGTCAGAATAGCTGCAGCAGTGTGGCCTTTCAAACTTAATTTGGATGAAGTGACATTCGTTCAGATGCGCGAAATAACTAAAACCTGGTTATTTTATTATTAAGTCAAAGATATATGCTCAGAGATAATCTGAACAAATGTTGCCAAGATGCTTGAGGCATCATTAATATCATCCCCGATGACACCAGAACCACATGATGATTTAACAACGAGACAGTACAGTACTAGATGAAGTGAGACATACATACGTATCACGAAACAGGACCAAAAAAATAGTAGCAGGCGTGTTTAAAAACACACACAGGGCATTGCCTTCAGAATTCAGCTAATAATTCTGATCTACATCCAAGCAGAAACAAAGAATAATTGTTACCATCACACAGTTATGAGGATAGTGCTTGCCTACCCCTGCACGACTTTGCTTATTATTGCAACTTAATTTGCTTTCCTGACAAATAAAAATTTGATGGGGCCTCTCCCCTCGGTTACAATTGATCTTCTGTTTGAAGCAATGTTTTCAACAGAAGCTGTATGTATCTCAAAATATATATTAATAGCGAAGAATATACATCTCAAAATATAAGTAGATGACTACTAATAAATTGGATGGGTTATATTGCATTCTTCCCCTCAATTGTCAAAAGATGATGTTGATTATTGTTCATTGTTGTGTGGAGTCGACTTTAATTTCATTTGCATGCATGTGACAGCGTCATCCAGTTAATTTGTTTCCGTTTAAAGCTGCCGAGACACTTAACCTTCTCTCTTCTCCCAAGCAGGTTACTAAGCATCTGATGATTATGTACACATGCTGTCTGCGACAGAACTATTCATACATCGATAAGCTTAGGAAGACACTTCTTGCAGGCAGCGCCATTACCCAGAGCAAAGAGGTAATAATTATGAATGTTTTGAGCTTTTGATGCATTATGCAATATATCCCTCAAAGACATGAGCTTTTGATCGATGCATGTATATGCAATTTCAGAGAGACTTTTGGCTGCAAAATCTTGTTGTGCTCTGTTTCTCTTGTGCCTTTCCATTAGTGGCCTAAAAACTGCCCAACAGCGTTCAGCACCCATTCACCCTTTAATTTTCCCCTGCTTCAGAGTCACAGTTTATTTATTATTACGTCGACGACAAGTGTAAACATGAGTGGCGGTTATTATATTAACAATGGTCGCATTTTTCGCCCATGGTCGTAATAAATTAAATGAACTCATAGTTGGTTTCCTCTTCTGAAACAGGTGTTAAGAGGCTACGAGAGTAGCAGCGATGAGATCTCACGCTCAGAGGAAGAAGATGATGATGATGAGTAAGAACCCATTGAGGCATGATGGTTGCAGTTGAAGATCTGTGCCTGGAACATGATCGAACTTTGAACTTGGCTCAAGGCCTATAACGAATAGTGAGTAAGCCGAGTTACAGATTACTGCCAAATGTACAATCATTTGGATTGGATATAACTTAAGATTTAATGGTTGAAATCACTAGTTGCACAAGCGTATCAAGTAACCTCGTTGCGAGTCTGCAACAATCTAACACAAGCGGTGAACACAGCACCATCCAGTAATCTTTCATGAGTGGTTGAGTACAGAGTCTGAGATTTCTTCAAAATTATCATTCATTTATAATGTTCATGCAATTACAGTCATAAGATAAGAAGGCAGGGCCGCGGCCGCCCATGGACGGCAGCCCGACAAGCGTATACACACTGATCAGAAAGATAAGAAAGGAACGCCCGCCGGCCCGGCCGGCTCGCTACGCCGATGGGAGCACCTTCTTGACGATCTCATCGCTGAGCGAGGCGATCTGCGCGTCGAGCGCCTTGACGGCCTCCTCCTTCTGCGCCTCGAGGTTGGCGAGCGCCTCGACGAGCTCGGCCTCCACGCGGCTGCGGCCCTCCTCCAGCTTGGCCTCCAGCTCCGCGGTGGTCTCCTTCTTCATCTTGTTGAGCGCCGCCGCGATCTCGGCGCGCGCCGCCTTCATGATGGCGGCCGCCTGCTCCTCCAGCTGCTTCACCTCCTCGGAGGCGTCCTTGACGTCGCCCAGCTCGCCGCGGATCTTGGCGTCCCGCTCGTCCATGAACTTACCCAGCGGCGTGAAGTAGAGCTTGTCCAGCGCCACCATGAGCAGCAGGAACTCGGTTGCGATCGCCGGGAGCGTCAGGTTGAAATCGAACAGCTGGGCCTTCTCCATCTGCTCCGCCAGCGCCGGGAGCGGCGCGGCTGCCACTGCCACTGCCGCCGCCGCCGTCGCCAGCAGCCGCGGGAGCTGCTGCGCCAAGAGCCGCCGCGGCCGCGCCGAGCTGCTGCTGGAGGAGGACGCCACCGGCTTCAGGAGCGGCGCGGCGCGGCGAGGGGAGCAGGAGGTGGTGGCTGCAGCCATCATAGCCGTGGCCATGGGTGCGAGGCCGGGGAGAGGTGGGGTGGGGGGGTGGAAGAGCGGCGGCGGCTTGTCAGTGGAGATGTGGTGGGGAGAAGGGAGGGAGGCAGGCGACCGGCTATCTATCCGAACGGGTTGGGTTGTGGTGTCCCAACAGACGGCGGCCACACGATGCAGATGCTCGCTTCGCTACCACGAATGCCCTCCCGGTATTCTATTTTGTGCTTCGTCAGAAAAGGCCCGTGTCATTTTTGGCCCAAAATCTCTGAAGCCGGCGGCAGTACGCCAGAGCCTCCAGGGCCATTGTCACGAACTTGTAAAGCAAAGAGTAGAAATGGATAGATTCGAGGCTAGAACAACAGAGAATGTGGGATAAGATCGAAGAACAACAACAGAGTTAGAGAAATGGGGAATAAGGGTTTGTTTGGATGCAACCCTGGATGAATTTTGCCTGGGATGTTTGCTGCCTGTACCTTGCCTGGATGGTATTTAGTTAGAGTCCTGGATAGCAGCATGGATCGGTCGCCGCTTGATACTGTGATGGCTGGATCTTCCGGCGGGTCGGGGGCGACCCGCAAGCTGGTGTGGCCTTGCCCCGGCGAGCCGGGAAAGGCCTGGTTCGTCCTTCGCGATGAGGAGGTGAAGCTTTGGCACCTGCTCGGGGAGAGAGGACTGTCGGTGGAGTTCGATCTCGCCCTTACCAAGGCGAAGCTTAAGGAGGCCTTGGAGAGGGTTGAGCTCGTCCATTAGGCCGTGACTGTCAACCTGCCACGTGTTGCAGAGGTAAGTTTTTTGCGTTCCTGGTATTGTCTTTGATTCCTTGGCATTTAAGCGGTTGTCTCAGCACGCTTGCTTCTTGTCTCGCAGGATCTGGAGATGATGTCGATCCGCAAGTCCCGGTTTCTCCGGGAGGAGCACGGTCGGATGGAGCAAGAAGCGGTGGTGTTGCGGCGGGTCGACGAGCTCAGGCACAAGCTGAAGTCCGCCCGCCGTGAGTCCCAAGACTGGGCAGCCGAGGCGACGGGAGCACGGGCAGCAGAGCTACGGGCGGTCGAGCGGGCGACTGCTGCCGAGCAGAAAACTCGACGCAGCGAAGGCCCACTTGGCGGAGACCGTGGCGGCGCTCAGGAAGTCCCTAGAGGCTCTAGAAGCGGAGCAGAAGGCCCGGTCAGACGCCGAGCGGGAGGTCGTCGTGCTCCGGGGGCAGATGCTCGGGGCAGAGGAGTCGAACACTCGGCTGCTCGAGAGGGTGACCGGTCAAGAGGAAGGGCTTTGCATTCTCCAAAGCGCCCGCCTCGGTACGTACCTGTTCTGCCCTCGGTTGATGCCTTGAATTTTTCTTTTCCTTGCTCCTGGATTTGTCGTCTGTTTCTAGAACTGGGTGGAAAGATCGACTCTCGGGAGGAAGAGCTGGAGACGGTCAAAGCGACAGTCGGTCGGAGCGCGAACGCGCTAGCCCGGTCCCTTGAGGAGCGACGCGCTCTCGAGGGAGAGCTCGACCAGCTTCGCAACATTGCGCAGGTGGTGGTCTCCGAGGTGTTCGGGTCGGGACCGAGCACCAGTACGCTCGCCGTCCAGCTGGCGGAGGTCCCGAATGAAGTTCGGGCGCTCATCTCCGACGGCATGTTCTACGGGACGTCGGGGGTGCTGACCTCGGTGGCGACCCACTACCCAGATCTGGACTTCGCGACCATCTGCAGAAGATATGTCGACTGGTGGAGCGCAGACGAGATCCACGCGCTGTGGGAAGTTTAGTGCCGCACGCACAAGTGGTCGCTGAGCAGGTCACCGCGCAGTGGGTGATGGAGGCTCGCCGTTCGACCGTGGCCATAGATGTGCGCTGGGAAGATGTCGTCCAGCCTGTGGAGGTAGTGGAGGCCGGGTCGGAGGCGAGCGTCGTCCCACCCCCAATCGAGCCGAACGTCGTCCCGACCGCAGCTGAGCCGAGCGCCGTCGTCTCGACCACAACCGAGCTGCCTTCGTCCTCGCTAACCGCACCGTCAACCGACGTAACCGGGGGGCACAATAGAGTTAGAGTAGAAATAGTCAGTTTATGTAAAAGATGAATTCGTGGGGGAGTCTCCATGTGAACAGTTTTACATTCGTAAATATTTTAAGTTCGTTTTTTGATGAAATCACTTGTGAGGGGAAGCTTATCCTGTTCACCCTTGTTTTTATCCTTGCGTAGCTTTGTTTTTTTGTCCTTTCTTTTTCGCACCTGCCCGTTGACCCGTAGGCTGCAACCTTAAGAACCCAGACGTGGCCCGTGAGGCTCAATTGCTCTAGCCGTAGGTCGTGGCGGGGTGTGATCGGTTGGGAGGCTAAAGCATAAGTTACGTAGGGTAATCAAAGGAACGGGATGCCCTTTTGTTTGGGCAAAAATTGTTACTACATGATAGTAAAAAAATGATAGTAAAAAAGGGGGTGGTATTGCACCCCCGTGGAGCCCCCGAGCGACCCAGGCCGAGAGTGCTTGGGCTGGGGCACTGTAGGAGCAAGCATTGAATGGAAATAAACGGTAAGACCGAGCTTTTGGGAAAGAAACGACGTAACTGTTCGATGTTCCATGTGTTGGTGAGAACATTGCCGTTGTCGTCCGTCAGCCGATAGGCGCCCGGTCGGATCACCTCGGCCACCGCGTACGGTCCTTCCCATGGCGGAGAGAGCTTATGTTTGTCCTTGGTTGACTGGGTCCTCCGGAGTACGAGATCACCGACCTCGAGGATCCTCCCCCTGATTTTTCTTTCATGGTACCTGCGGAGAGTTTGCTGGTAACGAGCGGAGCGGATGACGGTCGTCTCACGAACCTCCTCAAGCAGGTCGACCGCGTCCTGCTAAGCCTCCGCGGCTCGGTCTCAGTCGAAGGCCTTTACTCTTGGGGCGTTGTGATCGAGGTCGGATGGCAACACTGCTTCGGCTCCATATGCAAGGAAGAAAGGGGTGAACCCCGTGGATCGGTTGGGGTCATTCTTAGGCTCTAGAGGATCGTTGGGACCTCTGCAACCCATCGTCCGGCATACTTTTTGAGTCGGTCAAAGATGCGGGGCTTGAGTTCTTGAAGGACCATGCCATTGGCCCGTTCGACCTAACCGTTAGTACGCGGGTGTCCGACCGAAGCCCAATCGATCCTGATGGTGTATCCGTCATAGAAGTCCAGGAACTTCTTCCCGGTGAAGTTTGTTCTGTGGTCGGTGATGATACAGTTAGGGACACCAAACCAATAGATGATGTCGAGGAAGAACTTGATTGCCTCTTCCGAGCAGATATTTGTGATGGGCTTTGCCTCTATCCACTTGGTGAACTTGTCCACCGCCACGAGTAGGTGAGTGAAGCCATCCAGGGCCTTTTTGGGGGGTCCGACCATGTCGAGGCCCCAGACCACGAATGGCCAGGTGATGGGGCTGGTCTAAAGCTCCTGCGCCGGTAGGTGAGTTTGTCGAGCATAGAACTGACATCCTTCACACCTGCGGACCACCTCCTCTGCATATCATAGCGCAGTGGGCCAGTAAAAACCTTGGCGAAAGGATTTCCCGACCAGCGACCTTGGGGCTACGTGATGTCCGATTTTGGCATGGAGTTCGAGGAGAAGCTATTTTCCCTGGTCGGTCGGGATGCACTTCATGAGCACTCCCGACGGACTTCGCTTATAAAGTTCGTTACTAATGGTGACGAACGTCTTGGCGCATCGAGCGATTCGTCGCGCTTCAGTCCTTTCTGGTGGGAGAACCTCCTCGGGGAGGTAGGCGAGCAGTGGTGCTCTCCAGTCGGCCGGATTGAGTGCCATCACGGCGATGTCGCCGGGCAACGTTGTCATGGAGGCACCAAGGTCGGAGCCCCCGAGCGCTCGGTCGGGGCACGTCGGGGGGTTGAAGCCCCCGAGTGCCAGATTGGTGTTGGAGCACGTCTAGGTCGGATCCTCTAGGATGCAGGCAGA